ACACACACACACACACACACACACACACACACACACACACTAACTGAACATGGTGGTGTGTGCCTGGGGTCCCAACTAGCCAGGAAGCTGAGGTGGGAGGAGGGACCCAGGAAGCTGAGGTGAGAGGATTGCTTGAGCCTGAGAGGTGGAGGCTGCAGTGAGCCATGATCATGCCACTCACTCCAGCCTGGGCAACAGTGAGACCCTGTCTCGAAAAAAAAAAATCAATTTATCTACTTTTTACTTTTTTTTTCTTTTTTGCCGGTGGTTGTAAAATAGATTATGTAATCTGTGTTTTTCAAATAAGTTGTTTAATGTAAACAGTGTCATAGCATTCTTTCCTATATCCCGTTATTTTTTAATGCAGTAGAGTCTAATTCCTTACCATATTAGTAGCTAATGTTGGAAACCTTTTTGAGGCACATAACTGTACATGTTAAAATTACTTATTTTTTTGTATGTGTTCCTAGGGCTTTAGTTAGACTTACTCTTTAAGGGAGCTGAAGCTGTTACACAATCACAAATAATGCTTTAATGTTTCTGTTTTTCTTAAATTTTGTCTATGTAACACATAAATCATTATAATACATAATGGAAAATTCATGATGTGTAAAATGAAAGCCCCCTACTTCAGTCCCCAAGACAGTCAACATTTCCCCATTTTTTGTGTGTATTCTTTCAGCAGTAGTCTATGCATAGACATGCAATGATTATGTTTATCTTAATCTTATTTTTTGAAGATTTTTCTTTATGAGTACATCAAAGAGCCTCATTCTTTAGTATTTTAGTCTACAGATGTAAGTTATTAACTATGCCATTATTTAACCATGTCTACACATTCTGCTTATTTTCAGTATTTTGCAGAAGATAATTCATGATCTGTGTATCTTATGCCACAAGGATTAAAATATATATCAGTTATCCCTTGCTACAAAATAATATCAAAATTTAGCAGCTTAAAACAAATATTGGGCCAGGCGTGGTGGCTCACGCCTGTAATCCAAGCACTTTGGAGGCCAACGCGGGCGGATCACCTGAGGTCGGGAGTTCAAGACCAGCCTTGCCAACATGGTGAAACCCCGTCTCTACCAAAAATAAAAAAAATTATCTGGGTGTGGTGATGCATGCCTGTAATTCCAGTTACTTGGGAGGCTGAGGCAGGAGAATTGCTTGAACCCCGGAGGCAGAGGTTGTGGTGAGCTAAGATCACGCCATTGCACTCCAGCCTGGACAACAAGAGCAAAACTCCGTCTCAAAAAAAAATTATCACCAGTTTCTGAGCCTCAGAAATCTGAGAGTGGTTTAGCTGGGTGATAGTCTCGTGGTTTTCGTCAAGCTACCAACCAGGGCTACAATCTTTCGAAGGTGTCGCTGGGGCTAGATTTGCTTCCCACGAGACTCAACAGCTGTTAACAGGAGACCTCCGTTGGTTGTCACGTGTTCCCCTCCAGAGGGCCTTTCACAACATGGCGGTTAATTTGTCCCCAGAGCAAGCAACACCAGAGGGCAAGGCTGAAGCCATGATGTTTTTTGTAACCTAGCCTCTGGAAGTGTCATATCAATTCTCTATTTTGTTACTCACACAGACCACCAAGTCTGCTTACACGCAAGGCCTGAATTCTAGGAGGTAGACATTTTTTTTTTTTTTGAGATGGAGTCCCACTTTGTCGCCCAGGCTTAGCTCACTGCAACCTCCGCCTCCCAGGTTCAAGCGATTCTCCTGCCTCAGCCTCCCAGCTAGCTGCAATTATAGGCCCCTACCAGCCCACTGGGCTAATTTTTGTATTTTTAGTAGAGACCGGGGGGTTTCACCATGTTGGCCAGGCTGGTCTCCAACTCCTGATCTTGTGATCTGCAGAGGTGGGCATTTTTAAGTGTCATCTGGAAGGAGGCTATCACAACCTAGAAGTTAAAAGCATTGATACTCTGAAATACAGCATGTATAACATTTAGTAGGATGTGCACTAGCTATGTTTTGGTAATACCATTAATAAGTAATGTTATTTTCGTCATCTCCCAGATTTCTGGAAGATTGCTCTAGAGGAGTAAAGCATCTTAGCGTATTTTCTGCCTAAATAAACTATCTCATTAACAAAGTTGAGAATAAATTTATTTATTTATTTTTTGACAGGGTCTCACTTTGTCCCCAGGCTGATGTGGAGTGCATTGGCACGATCATAGCTCACTGTAACCTTTAACTCCTGGGTTCAAGTGATCCTCCCATTTCAGCCTCCCAAGTAGCTAGGACTACACATGCATATCATCACACCTGGCTAATTCTTAAAATTTCCATAGAGACAAGGTCTCACTACTTCTCTTTCTATGGAAAGAGACAAGGTCTTAAATTCCTGGCCTTAAGTGATTCTCCTACCTCGGCCTCCCAAGGTGCTAGGCAAATTTTAATCTTTCAGGCAAAATATTTAGACAGTATTAGTGGTTGTATTAGGGATTACAATGTACATACATTTAGAGTCTACTTAGAATCAATGTTCTGTGACTAAAAGTGGAATATAGAAACTTGGCTCGGCCGGGCGCGGTGGCCCAAGCCTGTAATCCCAGCACTTTGGGAGGCCCAGG